TGGCTCTGGGTATGGCGCTGCCTTTAGGCAGGAGGCTGTGTGTGGGACTGCTGTGGGGCAGGAGAGGGTTGGGGGGCTAGCTGTGGCTCTGGGTATGGGGCTGCTGTGGGGCAGGAGGCTGTGTGTGGGACTGCTGTGGGGCAGGGGCCTGGGTATGGGGCAAGGAGCTGGGTATAGGGCTATGGGGCTGCTGTGGGGCAAGGGAGGGTTGGGTTTGTGGCTGTTCGAGGCTGCTATGGTGCAGAGGTAGGTTGTGGGGCTGTGGTGCTGCTGTGAGGGAGAGGGCTGGCTGTGGGGCAGGGGAAGGCTGGGGGAGTGTGGGGCCGCTTTGGAGCAGGGGCAGCTTGACTCTAGGTTACTGTGGGGTAGGGAAGAGCCAGGGTGGTGGAGCTGGGGTGGCTGAGGGGCAGGGGAAGGCTGGGGTGGTGGGGCTGGCCCTGCTATGGGGCAGGCTTGGGACCACCTCCGTGGGCAGCAGCTCAGCAGCCTGTCCTCCCGGCAGGGCCGAGTTCAGAGCCGAGGTGCTGCAGAAGAAGCGGGAGGCCCTGCTGTCCCAGGAGGACTCGGCGGAGCTGGTGGAGGAGCACCGGCGCCTGATGGCCTGGAACGATGCGGAGAACGCCCGGCAGCGCGCTCGCAGGTCAGCCCGTGTGTGTGTGAAGCCAGGGGGTTCCACTTCCCCTCATGGGTTTTTTTTTTTGCTCGTAAAGAACTAAATTTGACACCCGGGTTGGTTAGGGTCAGGCTTAATTTTTTTACAAAGGCGCTTGACGTAAATGTTCACCTTTTTTAAATAAATCTGCCTACGCAGCGATCACATTTCCCGTGCCCCTCACTGCTGAGGGGTAAGGTACTGAGCAGCCTCCTGCTCTTCTGCAGAGGTGGGTGTCATTGGGAGGATAAGTTTCTCCATGTTCCCTCCTGCACCACTCCCAGGGAGCCGTCCTCTGGTCAGGCACAGGAGGTGTGTTGATGCTTCCAAGAAAGTCAGCATCTGCTGAATCTCGAAAGCAGGAGAGAGTTAAAGTTCTGTCCCCACTGGCTGACCCTTGGCCCCTCACAAAGCACTTGAGCTTCCCCATACAGGTCCTGTTGGAAGAATCACGTTGCTCCGATTTGGAGCTTCGGGAGCCAGACTCTGCTGGGTCTCAGGTCAGCGTCGTGCCTGTCAGCGCCGGTCTGTTTAAAACCCTTGGTATTAAGGTTTTGCATTAATTTTTTTCTCACAGGAGGAGGGAAATTCTCCTCCCTCCCCACACTGGGGACAGCATGAGCTCTCTTCCCCAGTGTGGCTGCTCTGCTCCTTCCCCTTGGTTCTGGCAGAGTCAAACTTGGCATCTTTGCATCCTGAGGGATTAGAGTGTCTCAGTGCAGTGTCACCCTGCAGGCTGTGAGCATTCACCAGAGCCTTGTTTTCTTTTCTCTTCCGTGTGGCAGAGAGGAAAGAATTAGGAAAGAAGAGGAAGAACGGAAGAGGCACAAGTTACAGGCTGCAGAGAACAGGGCCCGGATAGTGGAGGCTTTCCTGAAGGAGAAGGAGAAAGAGGTTCTCCAGCTGCAGGTAAGAGCATCTGGTGCCTGCTGCGGAGAACACTGCCAGCAGTTCCTGTGAGGGGTTTGACAGCAGCCCGTGGGAGCCATGTGGAACCCGTGGGCTTGTTTTCCAGAGATTTTTATGTCAGTAGCTGGGAACACAAGTGTTGGCACTTTCCAGGAGTGTTGACAGTGTGTGGATGGGATAAAGATTGAGTGAGAGCTCTGAAAACAGGGTGGAATCATTCAAAGTGGGAGAAAAAAGGTTTCCTCACTCTGAACTTGGCTCCTGTCGAGATCCTGGCGATGCTGGTGGCATCTTGGAGTCTCTCAGAGACCCACGAGCTCTGCAGGCACCAGCAGCTCGTGGGCTGCCTGTAGTGTCCCATCTGCTATCGTGCCTTAAGAGCCACTACTTGTCCTTGGTTCAGGAGGAAGCCAAAACGTTCATCACCCCCGAGAACCTGGACGCGCGGATTGAGGAGTGCCTGGACAACCCTCGCAACTACAACTTCGCCATCGACAAGGAGGGGCGCATCGTCAAACGGACAGTGTTGTCTTAGTGGCTCCAGCCTGGGACAGGGGGTGCTGGCCTGGCTTCTGTACAGAGGCTCCATTTACGAGCCTCCATTTCTTCCTTTTAATGTATAAATTGATCATGGAATTGTTGAAGAAAGCCTGGGGTCTGGCTGTGGTTCTTCTGGAGGGTTAACGCCTGCAGGAGGGAGGGTGAGGGAGAAACTTGGGCTTGTAACAAGCAGCAGAGGCAGCAGCGGTCTGTGTTAGCCCTGCGAGGTGGCAGAGGAGCTGCCTGAGAAGCTGCTGGTGTTCATATTCCTGTCACACTGGCTCTCTGCAATTCCACCTCCCACATGTTTGGATCCCTCCCACATTCATGCTAAGCATGTAGGGGGGAAGAGCAGGAAGGGTCCTGAGGCAGATCCTGGCTCTGAGCCCCCCCATGTATCCCCAGCACTGTCATGTTGACCCCCCTAGATGCTTCTGAAAGAAAATGAGGTTGGAATGGCTTTTGTAGGAAATGCCAACCCCTCACTCTTTGCTGTTGAGGGAAAGAATTGATTGTTTCTCTGGTTTCTGCTGTGGTAGAAGGACCTGCTTGTCCTTTAAACCCTCCTCTGCACATCTGTTGGTGTGGCTAAATGAGAAAAGTGTGCTTAGAGGATGGCTAAATGATACTGGCTTCTATGTTCCTTTTCTCTTCCCCCTCTTCAGCCTTATTTTACTCATAACCTGGGGCTTAAGTTGTAGATAATCCTGTAATTACTCTGGGTCCTCTTTGGTGGTTCTGCCTTATTGTGGTCTTGCAGACTGAGCTGTACTCTCAGTTTTGCTCCAAAACTGCTGGTTTTGGGCTACCTGACACCAGGCTGGAGTTTGCTGCAGTGCTGCCAGAGCCCAGGCAGACGGAGCGCAGTTCCCTCTGCCCTCCCTCCCTCCCTCAGATAAAACACCATCTGCAGGAATTGATCTTAAATCCTTGCTTTTTATCTAACACTTTCCTAAAAATGGCTTTTTCTCTCCAGCCAGCCCTCCCGAGTCTGTGCCTAAACCAGGCGAGCAAACGAAAAACACAGGCTTTTTTTTTTTTTCTGTACAAGTTTTATTTCTAATTAAGATCATCACAGAAATCTGAGTGACAGACCTTGGCTCGTCTGTTCTCAGCCTGAAGCTGGTAACGGCTCGATAGATAAGGGGTCCTGTGGGCTCTTCTCCCCGGGGTGGTCTATGCAATCAGCATCTCTTGGTCGCAGGATGAATCGAGCACGCAGCCCTCTGTGTGGGGAGAGAAAGGGGGGAGCACAAGGTGAAATGAGACAGCACAACCCAGTCCTCAGAGACCCCCTGGCACTGGTTTTTAATAGCATCGAGCAAGGATTTCTGTCCTGTAGCTCTCCAAGATTTGTAGCAGGATCTCTGTCAGCGTCTAACTTGGGGGGCAGGTGGGGATTTTTGGAAAACCATAATGAAAGCAGGAGGGGGCACGGGCTGCCACGCGCTCCAGGACTCCTGCTGCTTGCTCAGCCCCCGGAAGGTGGTTGCTGTCTGCTTTCCCCCCTTCCCCCAAACCTCGTGGTCTGTTACCACCTTCCCTGGGGTCAGGATCAAGCCTGAGTGGGGTGGCCCTGGCTGTCGGGAGATGGATGGACGGATGGGACAAAGATGATTCTATGGGTAACATCCCCTCTCCTGCTTTGATATCGTAACCTCTGGTGTGTGACCCCCCACCCCCGTGATGGGGGTCCCAGGAGGGAGGTGGACCTCACCGCTGCTGCAGCAGATGCCGGGGGTGGCACAGCTGCCTCCGCTGCCGCCGCAGGGTTTGTGCCCCGACTCGCAGGGCGTCGGCAGGAAGTTTTCCTCCTGGCACCGCAGGGTTTCCGAGGTGCCCATGTAACAGCCCAGCTCCTCTCCGCAGCAGATGTTGGGACCGAAGCAGCGGCCCTTGTTCCTGGGGCCGCAGGGCATGCACTGCTCGGGGAAAGGGGGAAGAGAGGTGGGGAGAGGTGAAAGCATCTGGGGTCGGGCTGAGCCGTATCCCCCCTCCTTCCCTCCCTCCTGCCCACATCTTCCCCACAGGACCCCCGGGAAGGCTTGGGGAAGGTAGGGAGAAGGCAAGGGGGAGGTTAGGAGGTCTCCAGCTCGCCGGGACTTACCTTCCTGATCTCCATGTCCAGGATGGCGCGTTTGCCCCCGATGGGGCAGTTCTGGATGTAGCAAGCGGAGGAGAGGGCCAGGAGCCCCAGGAGGCAGATGGCAAGCGCCTTGCAGGGCATGGCTGCAGGGTTGGGAAGGGTTTTGGCTCCTGGTCCCACCGAGCGCTGGGGTATATATAGTGCCGACTCCTACTTACAGATGCTGCCACCGGCGTCACCTATTTCCCTTAAAAACCACAAGGCATTGCTTCCCACACCGGAGGGCTCTGCTAATAGTCAGAGGTCGAGGACGTGAGGTCAAGGCCAAGGTGTTGGTTTTCTCCTTGGTGATGACTCCAACCGTGGCGGGTGAAACGTGTGGAGGCTGCGGATGCTGTTTGGGGCTTGAGTCCCTTCCTTGCCAACCCCTTAGAGCTGCTGAGATGTTGCTTGTCACTCCGTGTCCTGTTCGGGACCCCTTTGGCATGGGTTGGGTAGGGCTGAAAGAAGGCATCTCCATAGTCTGGTGGGATACATCCACCCAGAAGTGGAGTGAGAGGGACATTGTGTCTCCCTTGGCTTCAAATCCCTTCTGGTGAGGAGAAACCAAACCTGTATCCTCCTCTGGGATTGTGTGTGGAATCTGGGGTGGGAAATGTGGTGTTGGTCCTTTTCACCCATCTCTGCCTGGCTCTTGGGGGATGCTCAACACTGGGCTTATCCTGCTCTGGGGATGGTGGTGACACTGAGCCCATCCCTGCCTGCTTTCATCTAACAGCACCAAGGCAGCCTGCAAACATCAAACCTCATCAGCAAAGGCCCAGAACCCCAAATTTCCCTGTTGTTTCTGCCCTGGAGCTGCACACGGGGCGTGGATGTGATGCTCTGGACCACGTTGTCAGCAGAGGAAGGACCCCCAGGAGAAACAGCGGCTGAAGTCTGATGCAATCACACAAGGTCCTGCTCACCCCAGCCCCTCACCTTCGTTACTTCAATTAAGAGCTTCCCGCCTTGAATAAATTCCTCTGCTGCGGACAAATCTTACATCTATCAAGGCCATTAACTTGGTCCCTCCCCACGCCTGCTTAATTGGGAATTACGCAGCCCAAAGCCTGGGAGCCATGACCTCTTCTTGTCCCCTCTGGCTTGCTTCGAAATCTGCCACTTAGTGTGGCCGTGGTGGCCGGTGGCAAGGGCAGACAGGTCCTCGTCACTCGCCCGGGGTCAGGCAGCCGATGAGTCCCGGTCCCTGGGGACAAGCCGGGCGCCGGGGTCCATGTTAATGTGTTGGAAATGGGGCTCAGCACCTGCTGGGTGCTGTCCCCACAGCTCCACCCCAGCTGCTGTCCCACTGCAGCACCAGGGAGGGGGGGGAATCGCCACCCCAGAGCCCCTGCAGCCCATCTGGGGGTGCCTGGACCCCCGTGGGCAGGGTTAGGATGTGTCTTGGGTGGACAAGTGTGGGGAAAAAACCCACCCAATTATCAGGTCCTGGGGTTTCTGGGGACCTCGACGCCCTGATGCCGAGGCACCCGTCAGCCTGGAGCAGCATCCCAGCTCAGCAATGCATCCCCGTTGCTGCAGGAGATAGTGGGGTTCACATCCTGCACCCCGGGACAGGCTGAGTGCCAGGTGGGCTCCAACAGCCCCATTTCTTTATTTCACAATTAGGGGTCACCCCTCTGTGCTTTCCCAATGGATTTTGGGTCTCTCACCTCCTCAGGGCTGGGATAAGATGGTCATGGCATGAACTGGGGGCTGGGTTAATCCTGCACCCCTTCGAGCTGCATGGACCTGACGTGGGCAGGATGGGACCTGCTGGCGTGGAGGAGCTCCACCTCCCCGGACGTGTCACCTCCCCCGGGGACATTATAAAGGATGAGCTGTCCCCTGCCCTGTGGCCAGATCCCAGCCCTGAGAGAGCCCGGAGCAGGGACCCCGCCAGGGTAAGAGACCTGGGAGAGGGTGAGAGGGCTGGGGTAATGGTACCCCAAATTTGAAGGGGGGTGGTGTGGAATAAGCCAGAGGCTGATGCTGCCCCTTGGTGTCTGGTGGGGACCAATTTGACGAGCAATGGTGGGGGAAGATGAGACCAGCCGGGAGGTTGTATGAAGCTGGGAATTCAAACCTTTCTGCCCTTGGGTTTTTTTTTTTTTTTGGGGTGGTTTTCCTTACTTTTTACCATTCTTAGTAGATGTGTCTTGAAGCTACCTGCTGTGCCTGCTCCTGAAGGCAACAGGGCTCCGAATCTGCCTTGAAGAGGGGTCTTGGCCAAGAGGTAACACGATGGTGGCCCCTCCTGGGGTGTGATGCCCCAAACTCCAGGGGCTGGGGGTGCTGGGAGGTTTGGCATCCCCGGGTGCTGCTGGGGTTCCTGGGGTGGGACCCAACGGCCAGATGCCGAAGGGCAGCTTGTCCTGGGCTTCTTTCCCTTAGAGCTGCAAGGACGGGGCCAGATCCTGCACCCAGACCAGCAAAACCACTGCGGATGGGAGCTGGACAACATGGGGCTGGATGGGGATTTGGGGGCAAAAAATGGGGGATGAAGATCCAACGACACCCAAACTCTCACCCCACCATCCCTGAGCCCCAGACGGGTCTCCTGGAGTCCCCTGTAACCCGTCCCCAGCACCCCGGACGAAGCCACCACAGTGCACGAGGACTTTTATTGGGTCTTGTATTTACAAGGTTGGGGTGGGGGGATCAGTGTCGGTGCAGGGGCCGCCCCGTGCCCCGGCTCAGAGGAGGGGATGCTTGCCCTGCTGCTGCCGGTTTGCCAAGTGCATCAGCTTGAGGAGCAGGTCTCCAGCCGAGCCGTCCAGCACCGTCAGGTTCTTCTCTGCCGCCTCCTGAGCCCCATCGCTGCCCTCCTCCAGGCAGCCGGCGTCCATCGCACAGGTTTCTTCAACAGAGAGCAAAACGTCGTGATGGGATGGGTTATTTAGGGTGGGTTATTTAGGACCAGGAGAGTTTTACTTTCAGGTGGGAAAGGGGTTGGTGACAGCCAGGGCTGCCCACACAGCTTGTGCTCCAGCCACGTCCCTCCCGTTTACCGGGGAGCGGGGCTGGCTGGGATTTTTTCTGGCACATCACGGGGGCTGTGTGTGCCTGGCTGGGAAATATCTCGTGGTGGTGGCTGGAGAAGGAGCTCTGAACCCAATCCTTATCATAGAATGGGTTGGGTTGGAAGGGACCTTTAAAGGTCACTGCAAATGAGCAGGGACATCTTCAACTAGATCGGGTTGCTCAAAGCCTCATCAAACCTGACCTTGAATGTTTCCAGGGATGGGGCATCTACCACCTCTCTGGCAACCTGTGCCAGCGTCTCCCCACCCTGGTTGTAAAATATTTCTTCCTTCTGTCTAATCTGAATCCCGCTACCCCAAAATTATCCCAGCACTGTTGCTGCTCTGTGCCTCAGTTTTCCCTTTGGAAGGCGAGGTCTAACTGGAGGACTGACCATGCCAATGCCATTGCCATCCCCCCCGTGGTCCCAAGCCACCCCAAACTCCCCTCCTCTGGCCCCCCATCCTGCTGCCCCCCGACACCCCCATGTTACCGGCGGTGCAGCAGATGCCGGGGGCGGCGCAGCGGCCGCTGGAGCCGCAGGGCTGCCCGCCGGCCTGGCAGGGTGAAGGCAGGTAGTCTTCCTCGGCGCAGCGCCGCGTCTCAGCCGTGCCCAGGTAACAGCCCAGCTCGGAGCCGCAGCAGATGCCGGGGCCAAAGCAGTTGCCTCTGTTCCCGGGGCCGCAGGGCATGCACTGGGGGAAGGAGAGGCTTGAGTCCCCCGTACCCCAAAAACAAAAGGGGGGGTACACCCTGCTTGCACCCCCTTTTATTCGAAAAGTCACCCCCTACCATGCTTTGCCAGCCCTTGGGGTGACCTGTCTTGTCCCTGCCGCCAGCAGTGTGGCTTCCTGCTGTGGCACTGGCCCCACTTTGGGGGCTTCCTGCTGCCCCCTGCATCCTCCCCATCCCTGCTCCATGGGGGGACCCTGTCCCCCTGTGCAGATGCTCAGCTATGGCTGAGCCCCGTCCTGTCCTTGAGGTGACAACAGCATTTGGTGGGGGGGAGGTCACACATTCCTCCTCCACCACCCCACCACCTGCCCTTGGGCATGTTCCCCAGCCTTCCCCCCAAATGGGGTGCTCTGTGCTGTTTGGGGGACCGTGGCACAGCCCAGGGTGCCCACAGGTGACGGGGAGCCTCTGCACCCCACGGAGCTGCTACATCCCACCCCACAAAGCTCCATCCCACCCCCCCAGGTCCCCATCCCACCCGTACCTGTCGGAGGGCTGTGTCGGCCAGGGCCCGCTTGCCGCCCCGGGGGCAGTTCTGGATGTAGCAGGCGGAGGACAAGGCGAGGAGGCAGAGGAAGGAGAGGGGCAGCGAAGGCTCTGCCATGGCGGAGGGTGCCCGCAGCGGTGCCACACGTGTCCGGGGAAGCTGCCCGCTCTGCCGCTCGCTTTGCATCTGGCCCCGTGCTGCGCCAGCCGCTATTTATGCTGCTGTCACCCCTTCCCAGGGGGGGAGGAGGAGGAGGAAGAAGAAGAAGAGGGCTGGGTTGGGTTTTTTTGTTGGTTTTGTTTTTTGTTTTTTGTTTTTTTTTTCCTGTCTTCTTTTTTTTTCTCCCCCTAAATCGCATCCAAGTGACTCTGTAATTGAGGTGATTCAGTGCAGGAGCACAAGCGGCAGCGCTCAGGGCTGGTGAATCCCCCCCCTCACCCAGCTGTGGCTGCTCTGGGGGCACAGGCCACCCCAGGGATGGCCAGCTCCTGGGGACTGGGGTGTGTGCAGAATTTGGGGAAGGGTGCTCAGTCAGAAGGTGCTGGCACGGGAGGATGCTGGCTGGGGAGGGATGTGAGTTTAGGCAGAGATGCTCATTCAGAAGCTGCTGTTTCAGAGAGGGCTGTTTGGGAGGATGCTGTTTGGGGAGGGGTGCAGGTTTGGGAGGGATTGCTGGTCTGGGGAGGTAGCTGGTTTGAAAGATGCTGGTCCAGGTGGGATGCTGGTTTGGGGAGGGATGCTCATTCAGAAGACACTGGTTCAGAGAAGGTTGTTGGTTTGGAAGGGTGCTGGTCTGGGAGGGACCCTGCAGTGGAGGCTGCTGGTTTGGGAGGAATATGGGTTTTGGGAGGGATGCTGGTTTCAGAGGGATGCTAATCTGTGAGTGGTGATGGTTTGAGGGGGGAAGCTCATTCAGAAGATGCTGGTTCGGGGAGAGATACCAGCTTGGGAGGGGTACTGGTTGGAATGATGCTGGTCTGAGAGGGATGCTGGAGGAGAGTGATGGGGTCAGGACTGGGGGGGGGGGGAAGATTTGGGGGGCAAAAAGACACTGGGCTCACCTGCAGCACTGGACCACAGAGCACCAGGGTGTAGAGCAGGACCCTGCCACAACCTGCCCACAAAGGGGCCCATCATTGCCACCCACCACTCACCTGCTCCACCTCTTTTTCTCCAAGAAACAAGGCAGCAGAGAAACCAGTGGCAGAGGGAGAGCGGAAAAGGAAAAGATGCATCCTCAGGGCTGACATTGACCTTCCTGTTGGCACCCAGTGGGTCCCACCTGCTCTGAGACCCAGCGCGCTCATATCACTGATGGGCTGTTGGAAATATTTGTATGGGGCAAACAGCAGCAAAAATCCCTCCCCACCATGAATATTCCTGCTGGTCCCAGATCCCCTTTCCAGCAAGGCTGAGGGTGACCCTGGCAATGTGAAATTAATATGTAGAGGGAAATCAGGTGCCTAATGAGCACCTGCCACCCCTCCCCTCCAAAAACACTGGGGCTGGCACACAGCAATTAGGAGGGGCTCATTTGGAGGTGCTGGGAGGAATTGGGAGTAGGCAATGTGGGGGTGGTTGGGGTGGTGCCACCAGCTGTTGTCGAGCCTCTGGGGTGATTTCCTACTCTTCAGCCCATCCTGAACTCTTCTTCATCAAAGATGGGGAATTGAGGCAGGGACCCATAAAAATCAGCCTGGGGTTTCCTTGGGGTGGCTGGAGAGTGGCTTTTCCCCACCCTCGTTAACCTCCCTCATTTTCTCACCCTCGTTAGCCCTTTTCTGCCAAATCAGTGACCCAAACTGGCTCAGCTGAGGTTGGAACCAGGTGGGTGGTGATACCCTGGGTGGGGAAGGGGCTGTTGCTCTGCTGCAGCATCCCTTGGGGGAGCCATGGTCCTGCTGAAATCCACCCCTGGCAAGATCAAAACGCTTTTAAAAGCAAAGTGGATGTTACTGGGCTTCGGAGGCACCAGCAAGGAGGGGGATGGACCTGAGAGCATTGTTGCACAGCCCAGAGGAAACTGAGGTACCCAGGGGTAAGGGGAAGCATCTATTTTTGGGGCTATGTTTGCCACACTGGGGGTTCCACCCTGCACCTGTCTCCTGTCCTGTGATTTTGGAGGGATGCTGTCTTGGGTTTTGGGGGCTTCTCAGGCTTTTTGATGGGTAAAATGAGGGTGATTCCCCCTCCGAGAAGGGTGGAGGTAACTGCAGCCTCTGATTTAGGTCTTCCTGGGACCAAGGGATCGTCGAGTTCCCAAATTTGCCCAGTGCCCACCACCAGAAACGCTGAATCACCCACGTGGGGCAGCCGTGGGCAGCTTTAATGACCAATATTATTAGTACTGGCCACGTTTCCCCATTCAAACCCATCCCTTCACAGCGGGAGCTGAAACCCAGTTGCGTTGTTGGGCTGAGGAGGACGCAAAAGCCCTCGGCTGGGAAAACTTTTCTTTAAAAGAAGCCCAAATGTCAGCTCTAAATTGGGTGTTACACGCTCATGCTCCGTCTCTTCATTACTGTATCGTAAAATTACATTAGCCGGGAATGATCTGCATTCAAATGACTCTGTGTCTGGAATGATAACGCGGGAATATGAGATTAAAATGTAATTATGCTCTTTAAAGTCAAGGAAGGTTAATAAAATGTTTTTCCAAGTTGCAGAGGCTCCGCAGCCACAACACAGAATCACTTACAGGAATCAAGGGGAGGATGAGGTGGAAAGGAGGAGACAGGGCGAGGCAAAAAATGTGTAGAAAACATAAAAAGGGGGTTTTGGGGATTAAAATATTGGGGTCACCTGGGGTGAGTCATAGAGGAAGCGATCTCAGGATGATGGGGTTTCATGGGGCTGGGCAGATTCAGCTGGGAGTGTCCTTGCTGGGCAGTGGTGCTCACTGGTACCCGGCCACGGCCCTGGGGTGATGCTGAGGCCCCCAGCCCACATCCAGCGCCTGCCTGATGCTTTGGGGCTACTCGAATCCGTGCTCCAAATCCCCCAGCGTCAGTCACAGGGTCCCTTCTCCGCGTCCCCAGCACCGGATTTGCTCTGCCACGTCCCTGCTCTTCCCAGGGCCCCAGAGGAGCCCCCTTCATTAGTGCTGATCTCCTAACGACGTGCGAGGCGGGCAATGTGGGTGCCGTGGCATTAATCAGCGGCGTTAGCTGCCTGCTATCTATAACCCAGCTCGCCTCAGCTCGCGGAGGAAAGCCCCAAAGGCCTGCCACAGGGTGGGGAGTGGGCAGCAGCCTCAAATCCACCCCCCCTACCCCCCCACCAGCCCTCCTTCTCAGCCGAAATACGGCTGCAGCTCTTCCTAGACATCAGCACAGGTGCTGAGGGCTGCTGGAGAGGCTCAGCCACGAAGCTTCGCTGCTTGGGCCTTTCCCATTCGCTTTTCACATCAGGGAATAACCCGGGTGATGGGAAAGGGGGTGTCCAGCAGTGACCTGCAAGGCTCCTGCTGTGTTTTGCACGTAAACCACCTCCTGGCTACACCTGTAGCTTTAAAGCATCTTTGCTGCATGGAAATTAGGATTTTTGACTCCTTGAGTGATCACACCCTTGCACATGGTCAGAGCAAACCACAAGGATGTTCTCCCCATCCTTCATTAACAGCGGGAGCTTTGTAAGCTCTGAAACCTCCGCCGAGGATCCTAAGAGCCCCTCCAGAGGCAGGAGAGAGGATGGAGGTCGTGGTGCTCCACCACAGCCCATGCTGCCCGATGCAGAGGTCAAAGTGGCAAAATTTAATCAGAATAAATTAGAGGTCATGGGGTATCATCTGGAAAACTGGAGTTTCACCAAGTTGTGCATTTCTCTGCCTTTGCCTGTGGCTGGAGAGGGATGCAGCTCACAGCAGAGAAGGAGAGACTTTATTTCAACAGGTTCCTCCTGCACTGGCAGTAGAAAGCAGGTCAGGCTGCCAAAGGAGCACTCCCATCTTCCGTCTGGGTGAACTAATGCTCCTCAAATGGGCCTGTCTTCACGGCATTTAGCGGCGGTTTCTTCTCCCCAGCCGGTCACAAGCCTTTCAGCCGGTCGCCCTGAACTTGCGACTGACAGGGGTTAATGGCTGATGGGGAGGGGGGGAACCTGCACCTCCTGGCCGAGCACAGCACCTTCTTTTTTTTCTGCCATGGCTAAAGACGCTCCTCTGCTTCCTTGACAGGATGGACAGTAGCTTTGATGCCCATTTAAAGGCGTCAGAGCAGCCAACGTGACGATCTGCCGGGGCACTGCCTTTATCATTAGCTCGTCCAAATCCATCCCGCTGGGATGCAGACGTCACGTCAGGAGGTCACTGACCAGCAAGGGCTGGATTTGGCTTCCGAAAAGCGCTTGAAGGAGACCGTTAGAGGAAATTGCTCAGGCCTTCTATCAAAGGCCATTCCCCACCTCCTGAAGAGAAGACAGGCTCGGTGCCGGCAAATAAATGGCTTGTGGCATCTGCCCGTTCTGCGAGGGAGCTTATGGGGAATTGCTCTGTGTCCTGGCAGAAGACCACACGGGAAGAACCAGCTGCATGTCACCCACTACCAAGCCCACCTTCCTGGGGTGCAGAGAAAGTCTCTGCTGCCCACAGAGGTTTCGATGCCCAGCTCGTTCGCAAGGGGAGCGATCAGGAGGACTCGCACCAGGCTGGGGGTAAGTGGTCCCTCCCAAAGAGGTGGGAGCAGAGGGAAATCCATCCCTTCACCATCCCTGTATCAGCAAGAGTGGACACAGGGGTCAAACCTCACCACCAAAGGGTCTTACAGGATTAAGGAGAAACAGGGTGGATGAAGGCTCTGAGAAACCTGATACAACATGGAGATGAGCTCTCCTCTGAACAGGGGTTGGACCAGATGTCCCCCTGTGCCACCCCCACCAGTCTCTGCTCCCTCAGGCTCCATGCTTGGCCCTCCCTGGAGAAGGGAGAAAGGGACCCTTGAGAGAGGACTCGCCTTCAACCCCAGCATGATGGCTCCCAGCCCCAGTCACTGCCCACCACAGGATATCATGAGAAGCTTTTGGGCAGGAGAGATGTTTGGCTGAGATGGTGGCTTTGGGTTCTGCCAGAGGCGACGGGGCTTCGTTAGCGCCAGAGAAGAGCGAGATGGCTGTGGGGATGGGGAGCTCCTGCAGCAGTGATTGCTCCCCGGAGATGTGGGGCGGAGGAGGTGCGAGAGCTGAATCACCCCGGGATGGTTCACTGCAAACGTGACACCACCATGGAGTTAGGAGGATTTTTTGCTGCCTCTGAGTTGTGGGATTTTTAGGATTTCTGTTTGCCTATTTTTCTAACCATTTATTATTTAAAGATGGGGGACTTCCTATTTTGCTATAAATGGAGATGGATTATAAACTCCCAGTGACGCAGAGGAGGAGCGGGATCAGCTCGGGGCTGACACAAAGCTCTGCTTCAGGGGCTTGATGAGCCCGCTATTTCCTGACCACGAACATTACGGGTTGCTCAGCAAGTAGGTGCCTTTTAAGAAAGAATAAAGGTATTACATGCAAAGGTGAGTTGAGTCAGCTGGAAGCTCATTACCCCAGAGAAACTGGCGCAGAACATCAGGAAGGAATGTCTGCTCCGAGGAGAGAAATTACCAATTAAGTGACAGCACCAGGGGGTTATACAGGTGACAAAACCCTCTGCTGTCACCTTACCCTCAACACGTCCAGGACACGCTGGAGACAGAATGTATCTGAGTGATTTTTCATTCTGGCTTTTTTCTGAACAGCTCTTTGAAGACCAGACCTCCTCGGGTTTAGGAATCTGAGTCTCAACCCTGTGATGGTCCACGCAGCTGCTGTGACAACTCCCCGAAAACCCACGGGTCTGCAGATCCTTTGTGTCAACTTGCTTAGCTTTTTCCAGCCCATTTATTCAGTACTCTGCAAAGAGATTCACTCCACGAAATCATTAAGGAGTACAATGAGACCAATTACGAGTCAGAAAGAGAACCCGACTTTAAACATAATTTTATTAAGGCTTAAATGTCTATCAGCCAGACGGGAGCTGGTCCAGTCACACAACACAACCCGAGAGTGACGTTTGGTGTAACGCGATGGCTTTTCTGCGGGAGCCCGTAGGAGCAGGATGCGATGGCTGCCGGTTACTCACGCACTGACCACGGCCTCTCTTCGTGACTCGCTGGACTCTGGGATGAAGGAGGTGCTCCTGCAGCACGGCCAGGGCACCGCGGGGAGCAGGGGAGTGAGGCGGGGAAGGGCAGACGTCAGGTAGCTTTGCATGTTCTCCATCACAGGGACTTCGCCTGGTCCACGGCCGAATGGCTGCTCGTCAAATATGTAAATGGTTTTAACTCACAGGGAAGCTAAACTCACAGTCCAAAAGGCACCTATGCTAAACCACGGAGCCACTGGGATGGTGGTAAGAGGGCAGGGGGGCGACAGGTGGAAATCAGTTCAGTATAAATACATATTCCTTGTTAAAGAAGCTATGGCTTTTATTATCCTTAGATCGCTCTGCTCTGGCGCGATGCTCTAACCCCCCCACCCCCCACTACTCTGTAAGCACAAGAAGACCAAGTCCTCTCCGCCCTTACGGGTGCTCATCTGGCAAGCTCTCCAAAGGCCTTCGTCCTCCTACGGATGGATACGGACACGGGGAACAGCAGCGGCTCCTTCTCCTCCTCCTCCCGGCAGGCTGCGGCAGCCGAGGTCTCAGAAGTGCACCCTCCTGATGTCCTGCGTGGTGGCCGCCCTCTTACAGCTCCCGCACAGTATGGACGACAGGGACTTCTGCTTCTCGGCCAAGCAGGGGCGGCACATGAGGTGGCCGCAGGAAAGCTGGTACACGGGCTCCGTTTTGAAATAAGAGGAGAAGGTTTTGCCGCAGGAAGCGCATCCTTGCGTCTGGCTGCTCCTGCCCTGCTCTGCAAAGGTGAGAGGAGAAGAGGCTCGGTTGGGGGGGTTGACAAGCCCACACCGTGTGACCCTTTGTGTGCCCAACCCTGCCTAGGAGCAGGGCCCCCCTTTCTGGGGGTGTATGGCACAGCCCGAGGCACTCATGGCTCAGGACCGTGGCCCCTGTTCTCCATCACTGCCCGAAGGGAAGGGAACGGCCTGGCTTCTGGGGCAGGTTGTGCTCAGAAGGGGTTGGATCACGTCAGCATTTGCACCATCAGGCTTTTAATTGAGGACAGATGACTACAAAGGGCTTTTCGCATTTACTGCGACTGAACCGGCCTCCCTTCTGCTTTTCCAATGAATGAAAATCACCAAATCCCAAGCGAAAGGCTGTAGGTATGGCTTTGCATTCCTGTCACACACCACCCATCAAGGGCTACTCAGTCAACTCTTAAACAGCAGCAATTTCAAAGGGGACAGGAAAAAGCTTAATAGCTTCATGTCACTGCGAAACAGCTAAAGCTATTCAGAGAGAGAGCCATTGGGAGCCACACAGCCCCAGCCCCTTCTCAGGGTCACTTGGTCCCCCTGAGCCCCCTCCTCTGCCACAAGCAGATTCTCGCTCAGGGGAGGAGGAGGAGGAGGAGGAGGAGGAAGGCAGCAACAGTTAGGGCACCAGCCTGGGGAGGGACGTATGAAGGTTCAATGATTCCCTGCACCCCAAAGAAATAATTTTGGGAATGCATATGCAGAGGGATTGGCATGTCCAGCTGGCAGTGGGGATGAAACCTGTGAGGACTCACCAGCCTGGTCTATGTATATCCAAAACTGATGGGATTCTGGGCACAGGCTTGGCTGGTGGGCCTGTGACCTTGCTACCACTACCTGCTGCTGTTTAAAGGTCAGCATTTGCAAGGTTTACACCTCTCCAGCTGCCTCTCCACACCAGACTCGTTCCCCGTCCACGTGGCAGCTCCCCGGCTTGCTCTGTGCGAGCCCCCCAGCCCAAACCATGGAGCTGCAGGAGCAACCCAAGCCCCAACGTGGGGTGAGCTCTCCATCTGCCTTGCCCTACCCTGCTCAGCGCAGCACAACACATTCCTTCTAAGACTCCCTACCCAGGGCCCTCCCGGGGCAGCACGGACAAGAACCAGCCACCACCACGGGGAATGGCAGCACCCGTGCTGAAGTCTGCCTTGACTGTGGACATGGACCACACACCTCACCTCCCAGGGGTCAGCAAGGTCTAAATCTGCCTCGCTGGGAGAATAAACCACTAAAACTGCTGAGATACTAAAGCAGTAATCAGGGGTTGTTACGTAAAGCTTGCTGGGAGACAATGTAATATTTTTATGTTGAATATATAACCTTTTGGGGTCTGAAGAGGTACAGAAAGATGCTGAGCAGCAGCAAAACCCTCCCTGGTAACCCAGTCCCAGTTCTCCTCTCCTGTCTCTCTCCCAGAGGTGAAGCAGGGGTGCCCGTTGCTTACCGAGGCCGGTGCCCACGCTCCAGGAGCTGCTGCAGCCCCCCTCGCTCTGTGCCTGCTGCTGGCTCCTCATCAGCTTGGCCGTAAACGAGGGCATGGAGCTGAGCGCCGAGTTCAAGGCAGTGTCCAAACTCTCCGACAGCTTTTGCTCGTGAGAGACCAGATCTGCAAGGAAAAGCACAAGCTGGAGAAGCGGACGCCAGGAAAAAGCAAGCTCTCAACACACAACAGAAATGCTGCTCTGCCCCTCAACCTTTGGGACAACACTCAGGATTTCAGGAGCTCCGCTACTTGTTTTGTCGAGAGGTCTCTTCCCCCCACCGAGGTGCCAGGATGGGGGTATGGTGCCTCATCTCCTTTGGGGCCTCAAGATGAAAAGCCCTAGGGACTACTGTCAGACACCCGTGTCATGCCCCAGAGCCAATGAACATTCAGGTGCTGGCCTTATACCTGCAGGTCCAAAAGAGGCCAAAATGCCAAATGATCCAGATGTTTCTGGATCATTTCTCTCCAAAACCTCAGGCAGCTCCCTCAGCCTGCTCCAAGGGTCCCAGCCCAGTGCTCCCAGGCTTGCTTTGTGCAGCTAACTGGGAACATTTACGTCACTGCCAAAATCTGGGCATTCTCTTTTTTCTCTCTGTCCTAGCTCTAAGTCAAGGGATAAAGCCAAAGGCACAGGGTTGGACCCTTCCCTGCAGTGTTCTGTCCAATGCCGAAGGCGTTAATTAAGACTATGCATTAAGAGAATGATGTCTGCATCACAAATTCTGTTAAACCCATCTCCCAGAGGAAGACCTTTGAATTAGCGCTGCACATTTGCTAAAGCAATCAAGGCTGATGAAATACTGAAGCATGAGCTTCCTGGGACGAGCACTGTGCTTTTTATTTATGTACAGGCACAGCTCCCACGGGAGCTCCCGGACCCCACAGGACTGTCCCTGCTCGTGTGGGGCGGGGGCACATCCCCAGCGGGCGCCGTTACACACCTCTGCAGTGAAAATAACTAGTGATTCCTCCTAAAACACGGAATGAGCTCTAGACTGGGATCTCAGAGCAGAAATGTGCAGTCTTGACTTCTTCCTACTCTTTCCCCTATCACTCAACATCAATTATTTTCAGCCAAGCCTTTAAAGAATTTGTTTAAAATCAAATGACCACATAAGTTTTTTCCTTGAAACGTTTTTGGACAATTTTGGGAGAAAGCTGATGGTAGAGAAAAGTACCAGCAGGCAGGAGTAGTGATGAGAAGCTGTGGGCCACATTTTGCTGTGTTACAGACAACTTGTTTAACAAACACAAGAAAACTCGACTTACCTGCCTAGAGAGACAGCCCTTACGTGACCAGAAGACACCTGTGCACCACGTATTTATACCATCCTACTCAGACCAGACTCCTTCCAACAGACAGCCTCAGACACTGCTGCTCTCTTCGAGCCCATCTGAGACTATTAAAGACATCTCCCTCCCTCCTCCCAGCTTACGTTCACCTTCCTCCTCCAGTGGGATTACGACCTAAAGCAGTAACTCAGTTTAACTGTAGAAAATATAAGTGTTGCTGTATGAAGTACAGATATATCCACGTAACAATTGCACTGACAGCAACCCCAAAACATTTCAGGAATTCCTGTGCCAACAAGGGAGAAAGCAAACACGGCAAAATAAATGCGGATTCAGGCAAAAGATCTAGTGTGGAGTCAAGAGGAGCAATTGCCCACAAGCCAAGCTCTTCAGCACAGACTGGAAGCTGAAGGTCGTAGTCATTAGAGAATAAACCACAAGAGGGAACAGATTTTGGGGAGAGAGGGTTGAGAGAGGTGGGTGACAGCACTCAGCTTTTCAGGGAATTTATCTCAGCACTGCAGGTCTGGACTGTTTTTCTGCCTCCTGGAGCTTAAGCCCAGCAACACTGCTCCCAGATCACTGAGAAAAGCAAAGACAAAAGGAAACCAGTGGCCATTTCCTTCCCCTGTAGGCACAAGTCACACCCCTTGTCTAATGTCTCTATCTGGTTTTCTGCTTTAGCCAACTGCAAACCCTGTGCAAGTCTCTCCCAGCCTGTGCTGTCTTCTCCTTCCTGCTCTGAAGGCAGCACTGCCTGCAATTCCCTTCCTGCTGTTTGTTCCCTGCCCTCACGCTGCTGCACTAAGATTGGTGTAGATGGGAGGCTGTGCAGGACACGCTGCCCAAACACAGTTGCTGCCACACCAAGAGCAGCCCTGTGAGAAGGTAAGCAGCCAGCATGTCCCGGGGACACAATCTCTGCAACGACGCTGAGCGTGCAAGGAACCACCTGCACCAAGAGCCCCACAGCCAGTGCCTGGCTAGGGAAATCCAGGAGCAGGATTAGTGTCCCATTCCCACTTTCCTCCCCACCTCACTCCTCGTGATAAGACCCACACCAACCAGACCTGGTGCCATCACTATCTATGATCCTATGCCATCACCTATGCCATCACCACCAAACATTTCCTTTCCTGCTGTTGCTTATTTTCTTGCTGATGCGAGAAGATACTGGATAGCTGGGAAAATAAATCACCCATGATAAAGAAACTTCAAACCAGCACACTGTGAGAAAAACACTGTCTCCACATGGACAGTGGCTTGAAAGCACAGAGAAGAAAAGAAATACAAACTGAAAGGGAAACTCGGTGATCTGAGCAAAGAAGAGGGCTGTGAAACAGGCTGCACAGGTAACACAATGGGAACGATGAGCCTAGAGATGAGAAAAAGTGAAACAGAATGGGAGCAAACACCATCCAGGATGGCAGGTTGTGCTGAGGAGAGGGGAGGTGAACAAGACGATGACCTGGACTTCCAAGACATCCATCAACAGCAAAATATAATGGCCTTAAAGCTTTCTAGAGGTGGGGCAGGAATCTGTATTGGAGTCTCCTGACTTGTAAACCTGGCCCCAGGCCGTCAAGACACCCAAGAAACACAAATGAATTAGGGAGCCATGATACCTGTCGAACAGTCCATGTGGATCAAATGCGAGTCATTGTCAGTTTTCATTTTTTTAGCACTGTTCTCTGAGGTAGACGTGACAAGTAAGTTTGTAGAAGAAAAATAGGGAGGCTGCACAGAGCTCTGATCCATACAGTCCATTTTCCTTTTCAGAGAAGACATTGTTATGGAAGAAGGTACGAGCATTTCTGAGGCGTGAGCCCTCCCGAGCAGGTTGGTGCCAGGGATGCTGTGCTGTAAGAGGAAGTGGTCTATCCTGGCCTTGAGGGTAGGGTGAGGTAGGGGCTGTGAGTGCTGGCTGAAGGCCACCCCAGTGAAAGGATCGCTGGGTACCCTGCCCCAAGACGCCTCACTCCGGTTGCATTTTTCCAGGGTAGTCTGGTCGATCACCTTGCCGGAGGGCAGGAGCATGGGGAAGGTCATTATCTCCAGAGTGATGGGGTCCAGGAATTCTTCGGGGATGTCTTGGACAACATCCACCAGCTTGTGCAGGGTCTGCTGCTCGCTGTCATTGGCACTGAAGGGCACGCAGTCGCTCTCCATCGGTGTCCAGAGTTCAGGCTTGAGGCTGCCAACGTCCTGGGTGAAGAACTGGGAGGCCACCTGAAAGACACCCTCAATCACCTCCTGTGGGCACGATTTGGCAGGCTGTGCCCACACCTCCAGCCTCTTAATGCAAGGCAGGCCGCCTCCGGCCACGTGGGTGATGCAGATCTTTAAGTGCGACACATTGCTCAGGGAGGCAGGCCCTTTGTTCCAGAGGTCTTGAGATGCAGAGCCAGGGTAGGAGAAGACATTTTCCATCTGATGGAAGGGAGGCCTCGGCTTGAAGCCTCTGTGGCCGAATGTCACTTTGCTTTGATTTTTCAAGACAGCTTTACCCACCAGTGTGAAAGTGTCTTTGTCTGACACAGGCTGACCGGCCAGACCTGAGAACTGACCCTCAGGGCTCTGCCAAGAGGTCTTATTGCATGAGGTAGAGGTGTAAACTTCGAGCCCAGAGAAGGTTTGGTATCCCCCAGATGAGACATCGATATTAATCCTGCAGATCTCAATGTTGAAAGGAAAAGAGATGGTGACATGGACTGGAGATTTGATAAAGTACTCGCTACGGAAACCACGATTTCTCCTGGCCAGGTCTTCGGAGATCAGATTCTCCACTTCGTAACCATCAGCAGAAATCTGTATTTCGAGAGAAAAATGGATTTAAATTGAAGCAAGAAAATAAAAGGAAACTAATTTCACAAGCACTTAGGTAGATTTGCAAGATGACATCAACTAGGAATCACAGCTGTGGTTTCACATGCAGCTGAGACAACACAGGAGATCTCTGCTGCTGAGGCAGAGCAGACCCACTCTCACCCTCCTCCAGCCACACGGTCCCATCCACTCTTATCTGCATCCTGTTACCTGGCCATCTGCAGAGCTGATTTAGCCTGCTAAAGGAGTGGAAAATTATGGAGGGTTTGTGTTTTGGCTGGGTCAGTGAACTAAATCAAGTGGGAGAGTGTGGCTGGGAGCAGAGCATGTGGGGGGGGGGGAGACAGGAGCCTTCTCTTTCAACAGAGGCGAAATATCATGTCAGCCTGTCCTGCCATGTGGAGATGTAGTCTGAATCACCCAGGTGAAGGATCTGAGAGAAAGATCCCTCTAACCAGGCTGGGTCTCACCCTTTGTCTCCTAGGACATGCCATCTCACCCTGTGATCTGCTCCTGGACAGACTGGCTCTACGCATTCCCTTTCCTGGAAGCCCTGAGGCCTAAAAAGTCTGCAGCACTTGCTAAATGAATAGATAACAGCAAGGAATATCTACTTATTCCATCTGCTTATTACGGTCACTCCTCACCCTCCTGATCATCACACAAAACCTTGGCAGCACGGCTGGGTCTCTGAACACACCGCCTGTATTGCTATTTTTACACAACAATACTGAAAAATCCAAGGCTGTCTTGGATTTTGGAGTGTGAGCTGGTGGGGAGACTTAAAATTAAAAAACAGCTTTGAATTAAAACTGAGTTAGTTTCTAAGAGATTCTGATGATGCTGGTGAAAATGTAACTACTTGTAGAGCACATTTAAGTTCAGCAAACCTTGTCAAGAGCTGCATATTCTACTAGACAAAGGGAAAACTGAAATATTGCAGGTAAAAAGGTATCTCAAGTCAAAACATGCACACCTGTGAGCATGTAACATTGTTTTGTTTCGAGATCCTGCAAAATTAAGGCTTTTCTCCTCTAGCACTTAGTGTGTGCCACATCCGAGCTGTCACATGAGGTTACACAGTGTTCTAACACTACCTAGCAGAGACTGACCAAAGCATAGACAGGATAAATGAAATTTTGAACAGTAACTCGTGGGGAATCTCTCAATACTGATTTTGCAAAGTACTAAGCCTTCAGCTCCACTTTATCTTTTTGTGAGCTGCAGAGCCCACACACCCAGATGGTTCTCTTGGTCACATCAGTGACTCTCAAGTCCAAATCACAAAAGGGGAAGGGGATCCAGGAGCCCAGATTCCGAAGACGAGTTCACAAAACCTCCTTGCTGGGCATGACAGGATACTGGTAAGCTTGGAAGAGAAAGCCGTGGGCAAACCTACCCAAATCACAACCCTCCCACATCACTGGAACATGATTTCAACTAACAAAAATGTCCTTGGCTTTGCAGAGAAAAAGCCTCCCCTTTACCTGCATCTGTCCTCAGTGCTTCTGCTGCCAGTGGACATACGCAGCCTCCCAGGTTAAAATCCCTCCCTGAACCAGCCAGACCACACAAAATGACAGGAGTTTGCTGTGAGATGCCTTTGCTTTGTTTTCTCAGGCAAGCCTGGCATGGCCAGCCAAAAATCAGTCTTCCAGAAACACTGCTAATTATCACAGAGCAGCAGCAAACAAGCCCTCCCCAGCCCCAACCAGTCCAGCATGCCACCCTCCATCCCTCCAGCTCCCTGCCTCTGCCCCCATCATTATTTTACCTTGTTGCAGTGAATTCTAGGCTTGAACTGTGGGAGACAGACGTTTATTACCATCTTGGCAGTTGGAGACAGCTCACTTTCTGAGCATCAGATTCAGCTTGTAAAAAAAAAACAAAAGGCAAAATAAAGACAATGAACACCAGTGAAGACTGAAAGGGTCGCATGTTTTGGAGCCTGTATGCATTACAAGCTCAGTAGTTCCTAAAATGGAACTCAGATCTGAGTCCAGGAGGTAAAGACAATATAAATCCCAATGACTGCGGTGGACAGTTGGGACTGAGAGAAAAAACCGCATTAATATTAATTAGTGAAGCCCTGAACAAACATCAAAGAGAAAACAGGTATTTTAACTAAGAAGTCTTACCTATGGATACACTAGCAATTAGGTCTGAGAGTTTATCAAAGATGCAGGAGGTTTTATAGATACAGTAAAGCATCAGAGTATCACATGAGGTTGTCAAAGGAATCGGTGTGAGGACACGGGATGCTCTGGGATCCAACTGGGATCCAACTGGGGTACTCAGCACTGCAGACCCCCGTGGCTCCAAGGTGGAAAAAGCCAGGGCCCATCCCCACCGTGTGGCCTTGAGCTGCCTGTTTTTCGTCCGCGTGCCTGGTTCCCCACACACACTGGGTCAACCTACTGCCTTCAGCAGCTTGAGGCAGGACCTGCCTGAGCTCTTGGACAACACCCAACATGACCAGCTTAGATGGGGCCTCTCAAGACAAGGGTACCAGTCAGCACTAACATGTCGCTGCCACAAAGAGAAACGTTTCTTGAGGGCTTCAGGAGCCTCAGATGTAAGCTAAGATTAAATACAAATATTAATAATTGGTATTTAATAGCTCCAAGGGAGCAGAGGGCATTTAACAGCCCTAACACCGACCCAGATGATTTTTCTGACAATGTTCATTAAAGAAACTCAAGTGAACGCACCTTCTTTTCCATTGAAAAAAAATATGACTCAAATTGGTTGTATCAGATGCCTTTTAAGAATGAAATTATCTGTGAGGTAAGAGTTTTAACCTTACATTAACCTTAGTTTTAATATGTCATCGCCTTGGGCAGCCTTGCAAATCGGGAACCCACCGCCGGCTTCAAGAACAAGCAGCCCTTTAATGATTTTCAACTGGAGCTGTTAGTTCAGCCAAAATGAAATTGGCCTTCTGGGGGCACGTCAGTCCGGCTGCTGAAACGCGGAGCGTTAACGAGCTCGTTCCGCCCGCCTGCGAAGCGGGGGGGTGCAGCCCGCTCTGCTGCCATCCAGAGCAACAGCCTGAAAAGAGAAATGCAGTATCCAAGGTACCAATGCCACACGTTAAAATCACCACAACAGAAGCCAAGCGTGCAGAGAACAGAGCCTGGAGGTTACAACGCCAGTGCTTGATCAAAGCAGGTGTGAACCCAAGGAGAGCTGCAGTGGGCCAGATGAGCACTTTTAGCCCAGTATTTGGTCTGACAGCCATCAGGAACGATTCCTGCTCCTCAACAGGGAACACAGGAACAGGGCAAGCTCAAACCAACTCTCCTCCAGCACTACTTTCTTGGCTTTCTGAGCCTGAGAGGCTTTGAGCACAGGGCTGTCAGTGAGGAACTGTTCAAACAGGCTTCTGAACTGGTCTGACTTTTGGCACCCACATCTTGTGGGAGTAAGACTGTCGGTTTAACTACAGGCTGTGTGACAAAAACTACACATTTTGGTTTGTTTTGAACCTGTTGCCTGGTAAATCAGCTTGGTCGTCAGTGCGGGTATTACGAAAAATGGCAAATCAACTCTCTCTGCTCCTTTTCTTGGAATGACTCAAGATTTGCCCTCTGATCTATTTATCCTCGCGTCTCTTTCCTGGGCTAAAGACTTCTCCATTCCCATCTGACCAGAGTGGTGCATTTGCATTTAGCAAATCTCAGTGAGACCTTCTCTGAACGACGGTGAGCAGGAAGAGGCACCTTCACCTCAGCACCCCTACAAACTCAGGTTTGCAGAACTCACTTCTCATGAGCTGCTGTCTACTGAGATCTTGCCTACGGCGGATGCCAAATTCTCCCGTGGACCTTGTGGTCGTGCAGCCTCCTCTTTCGCAGTGCTGCCTTGTGACAGGCAAATCATGGATGGGTGCAAGCCATTCCTCAGGAAAAACTCACAGCTTCTTCTAAGTCTAAGGCTGTTATGGAGGTTGCGTCCTAAATCTTCATCCTTTTCTACCATGTTTTTAATAACCTGTGCAATTAGCTCTGGTCAATTACAAACAATTTATTATCTCACTAAACTTGCGCTGTCTTTCAATTCAGTCACTCCTTGTTCTGCGGCACGAGGAGCTATGTATGTATATATTGGTATATTTTATGGGATTTTCTCCTACCTGTTTGTGACCCTGACAGACTTAACAGCTCAAGGTTCAACATCTCAGTAAGAAAACGTGTTATTCTGCATGTCCAAGTCACTGCTCTTTCCTCTTCTGAAAAGCTCTCCTGCACTCTTGCTTCACAGCAAGAGCTGGTCACCGAGTTGCTTTTACCCACAGCTGGTTTTTTCACTTTCCATGAAGACGCAACTCAGAAGACAGACAGTGGGGATGAAGGGAGATTAAATGAAAAAACGGAATGAGATTGGGTCTAAGCTTTGGTGTAAAGAAGGAAAGCGAGAACTGGCTGGATCCACAGTGATAAGAAAGTAAAGGGTCTGGCTGAGACCTCTCTGCCAGGCATTGCCGAGAGCTGAGCACAAAATTAATGTCTCAGGGTCAGAGCATCCTAACCCTCAGCCCCAGCTTCCATCTCACCATCCAGCTTTTGTGATCTCTCCTGCTCATACACAGCTCCAAAAGGAGAAACCCAGACTGCGTGCCCACCAGCCTGACCTCAACAGTGATGGAAACAGCAAGGAAACACCTCTGTGTGTTGCTGGCACCCAGGTCAGCTTCATGACTAAAACCCGTCCCAATTCTCTCCCAGATATCACTGTTCTGCTCTCACACTGTCACCAAATCCATCCACTTTCATTTAAGGCGGAGAAAAAAGTAATCACAGAGAAAAATGAATAGGACAGGAGTTTTTATTTGTCATGGAAGCATTTGAGGATCTACGTACCAAAGGAGAGCATGGGACACGACTGTCAGCAGAGCAGAATTGACTAACATAGCAAAACAGCCTGAGCACACAGAGCACCTGCCAAAAACTTCACCAACACTCTGAGACCGTCTTAATCGGAAAGAGAGATGCATATGGGAGGCTGCATCAGCCTCTGAGCAAGCACTACACCCAACTAGCCAGCCCTGCTAAGCAGCGCCGGGTCGAATACTTTGTAATGGAGGTAGCTCAGTTTCTCCAAACGTGTGCGTTTGAGCAGAGGAAACCATTCCCAGAAGGGAAGCTCAACCACCACATACCCCAGCTGCCGCAGCTGCCGCCGTTTCAGGCAGTGCAGCCCCAAGAGCCGCTTGGAGCAGTAGCAGTAGTGATTTCGGTTGGACACCTGAATAGCCAGCTTCACCCCCTGAGGCTGCCCACTCAGCGTAAGAGATGGGGCGGCTTCAAGACAGCGCCCCAATTTAGGCTCAACTTGCAATCTGGCATCTGCTATAAGAGCTCCACCTGAAAGCACAGCATGATCCCCTGCGCGTGGGGTTTGTACTTCTCCTCTCTCCTGACCCAGAGTCCTGGCTTCACTTTCCAGTTCCACAGGAGATTGGTTATTAGATCTGCCTTTTATAAGCTGAGTCATTAGGTCATCTGTTAGACTAACTCCAATGTCTTTTAGTTTCTTATCTGCAACAGAGTCTTTTAAGTTGAAAGGGATGGGACGCCCATCCATGGCCAAATGAACCTCCAGATCACTCGACCTCGTGTGAGGCAGGATCATGTGGCTCTTCACATACTTGGGGCCACCTAACATGCTCTCGAGAAGAGATGCGGCTTCCATAATTTCAGGCCTGACATAGATTTCCTGCTCTGCAAAATTCAAAATCATCTCGGTAACCTCTTCATAAAACTGAGGTGGAAGGCGATTCCCTTGGTAGCTTGGGCACTCAATTTCAACACTCTTGCCAAGGGTGAACAGGTCCTTTTTGAGCTCATATTTACTACTTCTTGTTTTCTGGACAAACTCATGCCTCAAAGCATAGTCTATCAGCTCCTCTGGGAAGCGTTTGACAAATGCCAGGCCAAGCAAACCAGTAAGGAGATGCTCTGGGAACTTCCTAAATTCATGGAGTTTTCTATGCATCTGCTGTATCAGGCTGGAGTAAAACTCTTCCTCGTTTGGAGGTTCATAGTCCAGGCATCCAAATGACCACAAGAACTTGGCAGCATCTTTGCTTCGGCAGTAAGTCACCTTAGAAGGCAAAGACATGGCTACAGCAGCCATAATGCCTTCGTCAAAGTAGTGTAGGGATGAACAGGTAAGAGTGATGTGCATGATGCCTTGGATGTTTATTGCAGGAATCCGAGCGGGAATAACCTTCCCAAGTTCCTTCATGACAGGTAAGTGGTCCATGCGAGCATAGCGAAGCATTTTAAGCACGTTCACCAAAGCATAAGTGCTCATGTCCTCCATCTGCAGGGAGACTCTGTCTCCAATTTTTCTCATGACGTGGTCAGAGATACCACTGAGGGACTTGAAGAGCCCTAAGCAGATAGCACCCATCTCCTCCATGGTGAAGGAGTCCAAGTACTTCAAAATCATGCTCTCTATCTTCCACGTCAAGTCCGCGGGTGACCTCCGGCCTTCACCTATGATATAAACCAGCTGAACAAACTGGGGCAAAGTGAGGTCTTTCCAGTGCATGTTGGCATAGCTGAACAAAATGCTCAGGTAGGAAGGCACACTACGGTCCAGACAGCGCCAGTAATCAGCCACCAGCAGCAGCTGGTCCAGGTTCATGTCCCACACCCGCCTGCAGAATTCGTTCTCGCAGGCGTTCAGCAGAGGGTGGGTGGATGGAACAGCCAAACGAACACAAGCCTTCAAAATATTGATGAGATCTGAAGTACTGAACAACCTGATGCTTTTGACAGCCCAGCGACACAGTATATTAAACCTGATTTCGGACACCAACGCTGCACGTTTTTCCACTGGCAAACGACTCAGTTTGCAAAAATAATCTGTGATAGTTCCTGGGCTCTGGCTGCCCTTCCACATGGCCACACTGTGCAAAATCAAGTCACCTTCTTCTAAAGGAAGGGCCTCTATCAGCTCAAACCTGTCATAGCTGAGAGATCTGTATTCAGGTCTCCCCTTCTGAAACATGCGAGGGTCCTCCTTGGAGTCATGCATCTCTTTTTTATCCTTTTCTGCTTCCTCCTTGGTTTGTGCCGCAGAGAGCTGTGCTGAGATGGTTTGCTCGAGGAGCGGTCTGGGCTTGGGCTTTGGCAGGGCATTTCTGACGGGTGGCAAAGCTTGAGAAGAGGTGGTACTGACTGTATGCTGAACCTGTGAGGTGCCAGGGCTGGTGAAAGTGTCACCGAGAGCCTGGCCACTGCTCCTAGCAGCGTGCTGCTGGGAGGCAGCTCTGCTTTTGGCATAGGCAGATGGATTGTACGATACTCTGTAGTCCAGTGGATTCAGCAACTGGATTGTAGCCGCAGATTCGGTTCCAGTGTTGGCTGTTTCTGGGTTCTCTTCCTTTTTGTGCTTACTTTTGTTGCTTCCGCTCTCGGCCTTGCACTTGGCTGTAGTCGAAAAGGCAGTCACCCTGCTCAGCCTTGGAAATCTTCGGCATATTAGCACTGTAGCCATGGATCACAATTTACTGGGGTCAGAATTGCTTCCAGGTACTGAAAAAAGGGCAGACGAAGAATGAGTGGCTTCCACCTAACACGAAGTACTTTTTAAACTATCCTTTATGCTACCGAAGTGAGGCGATGCCAGCGTTTCCCTTAGCCAGGGCAGCTGCTTCCCTGCAAAGCCGTAAGGCAGCCGCCATCCAACATCACCTCATGCAAAAACGGTCCAAGACAAGCACCCAGGTGACCTCACACACCCAAAGTTGGGGTACACGGCAGTCGGGTATTACCTGCTACTCAGTAGCTACAAGTAACCTGGCAGAGACTGTGGCAGTTAAGGAGAAAGCCATCTCTTAAAAAGAGACCCAAACTGTCTTTCTTTCATTCTAAACAGTGAAAACATAGTTTTGCAGTAGAGCTGAGCTTCAACAGACTTTCTGTATTCAAACAGTGCATTCTGCTACTTCGGTCACCACAGTCTGAAATACCAACCATCACCAGAGAAGTGGTCAAAATATGCAGGGTGCTGCACTGCTCTTTACATCTGGAGACAGTATGTGGAGGCTGTGAGCAAAGCCTCTGCAAAACCAATCCAGAGAGTGAAAGCTGGCCCAGAACCTGCAGATGAAGATTAGCTGAAAGGAGAAATGTGGTCCCAGAACAAAGTTGGGGAAGAGTACGGCAGACGTAACACAAATCGTTATAAGATGCTACACCCTGAGTTGAGAACCAGAGGGAATAGCGCTCTACACTTCAGACTTGGGAGCGTTGCCCATAGTTTTAGGGTACAGAACGCTTAAAAATGCCAGGTACCTTCCTAACTCCTGCCTAAACCAGCTACAGCACAGGGCGTGAGGATGAGAAATCTGTCAGGAGTTAAGCTGTGCACTGCCAGCCTGCACAAGCTGCCAAGCGAGCCTGTTTACGATGATTCAGATGCCAATTAAAAAAAAAGCACCAGGTCAGCGCTCTGTGTAACACACCCTTATCCCACCACACGTGGCGAACTCCAAAAATGCATTAGACCAGGCATTTTCAACTTCTTTAAAATCCCTTGCGCTCTCATTACCACAGGGTGCCGAGCAATCAGGAAAGCTGAAGCCTGGCAGTGACACTGCAACAGTGATTCGCATTCGCTTCTGTGCTCCCCACATGGGGGAAATAAATCCTTTACGGGCATCCCTCTGAGCTCTGCTTATACTTGATTAGGGCTAGATCAAGATGTTGAATCAGTGCAGGCAGACTCAGCTTTGCAGCAATAAAATGGATACCTTGGGGGAAGAAGAGGTGGGGAGAATGCTCTGGGTTTGGTCTATCTGAGTAGGAGAGGGCTGCAGTGGGATGGGGAATCACAACTAGCTCTGGCTAAACATAAATTGGATTTTTTGTTGAGTACAAGAATCCCCACGACTCCCATTACCAATTAGATGATCCATTCCTGCCTCGCAACAGCCAAGCATCAGCTCCTCCCAAGGACGGGTGAGATGGAAAGGGAGGGTAAGGGAAGAGGGAGGAAGGATGAGGAGAGATGAAGTGATGGTCTTTGCTTCCTCTTGGTACAGATGTGGGGTGCTGCCTGCTGAGGGGAAGGCTGCGCCTGCAGCAGCCTCAGCTGCCTCTTGTGCGCCCTGAACCTCCCCACAGCAGCAAAAGCAGTAACAGGAGCAGGGAGGCAGGAGAGAGGTCTCTGATGTGGCACAGGCACAAGCAACCTGCTGCTCTCTGCAGGCCATTCTCTCCCCAGGTGGCTTTACCTTTGCCGTGCTGGGGCTTGGCTTCTGTCTGAGGACAGCATCTCAGAGCAGAGCTGGCAGGGGAGCGCTCCCAATTTGCTCCAGTGCAAAGTCAAGTGGCTCAATTCAGCCCTTTGGGATCAACTGTGTTGACTCACAGAGCCCTCGCATCCTCTGCTCCTGGGGGCAGTAACCACCAGCTGGCAGGCGAGGAGAAGCTGCTGGAGCAGTAACCTCAGCCACCCCGGCAAGAAAGGGGGAAAAAAGCAACCTGGCTGGAGAACAGGAGGCTCGGTGGGGAAAAGAGGGAAGGCAAGCTGAAAGGAAGATTTCCGGAGACAGCCACGCAAGGAGGAGTGCACAAGAGGCCAACACATTTGTAAGAAGAGTAGTAAAAGGCTGATAAATACTGGGAGACTCTCATTAGCCACTAAGCTTGCAGGGCACCTTATCTGTATCTGGTGCAGCCCTCTGGTGCAGACCAGGCTCTACTCCACAGACCCCAGGCAGAGCCCAGGCACTGCCAACCTTACAGCTGCACTAATCCCTGCCAACCAGGCAGCTACAAGGCTGTAACCATCCCCTTCCCACAAGAGGAATCAAATCATGTCAGGCAGGAGAGACTCCACCCCTTCCCTACCACTGACCATTTTGTGAGTGGGAAAGAAAAAGCTCCCCAAGAACCTGGACAACAAAACCCAAGCCAAGAGCTGTGATGCTACAGCACAGCCCAGGCCTCACAAAGCTGTCACCAGCAGCAGCAGGAGCTGGATTTCAAAGCTCTCCTGTTTAGCACATGGAAACGTGTGATGAAAATATAATTTCTGGCTTTACTGGCTGTGATGTCCAGCCTGAGCTGACCACGAGTGATAGATGCCATCGCCGTGTGGCTGGAGACAGGCAGCTGTGAAGTGGGCAAGGCTCAGATCTGCACCGGGGCTGGGGGAAGGAGATCCCATCCCCTCTTCTAGCACCTCACAGAGCTTGTCCTGGAGGACACTCAGAGGGCCTGGCTCAAGCTGCAAAAATGACCTAGGATAAGAGAAGGTTTATCCTACCTAGGCTTTCTGACAGACTTTCTTGTCTGATTCTATTTTGTATGTCCTCTATCTATTTTTCTGTTTTGAGAGACAGGAAAGCACTATAGAGAAACATGTCATTTATTTTAAACAAGTCCTATTTTCTGTGGCAAGGTGATGCTACCTATGAAATTCAGCACTCTGCTGTTACCAGAAACACCCCTCTCAGTGAGGACAGCCCCTCTTCAGGACAAAGAACCAAAGTCACAGCATTTGCACACTGAAGGCTCCAAAGGCGAATGTCGTGTGCTGCTAAGGAAACCATCCACACAGTTTAGTGTTAAGCTATGATGCATTTGGGAAGCTATTCAGTAAAGAGAGTCTTTCTCTCCTCCCTTGCTCCAAATCCAGCAAAAAAAGAGAATACCACAAGCAAGGGAGTCAGGTCAGGCTGGCTTGAGGTACTTCAAGCACCTTTGAAAGAAACAACAGACTGGGTGCCAGTGGCCTTTTGCTCATAACTTTCACCCACCCACAACCTAAATCTTTATGTTCTTCTAAATTTCTACAGCATTTCTCTTCCAACTCAACCTACACTTCTCCTCGATTTTCCTCTCTTTTTCTTACCCTGATTAATCAGCTCTCCTTCCTCCTCCCACTGCTTTTCTCTCCTTGTTCAAACACAGCCAAACGCCTTCCCACCTCTGGGCAAGAAAATTCACTTCCAGTGACTCCAAAAAGCCACTCAGAAAGCAAATTTTGGAGCTGGGCCTTGCAGGCTGCGAATGCACTTTGTGAAGGTCTTCTGGGATAGAAACATCTGTGTGTGTGTCACACTTACAGTTGAGTTCTTGGCCAAGACCACAACTGCACAGCTGAGCGTTAGCTGAACACCAGGGAAAACAACATTCCTGGAGGGATGCCACCCGCCTCGGAGTAACAGCTCTGTGAAAAGGGATACAGGTGCACTCTAAAATGTTGTCCGTGCTTTTTGTCTCTCTAAAACATGCAAAGGGGCTTTCAGTAGTGCCAGAAAACCCTCAGAGGATCCACGCTGGGAGACCACCCACTGCTGCGGCGCACTGCCCTGCCCCACGCTTCCCAGCACCACTGACAGCAAAAGGGCAGAGGGGGCACCTCCTCGGTAGGCGGGAGGCATTTCAGATCCGAGCAATGAAATGCTGGGCATAAAACGGCTCGTTTTGGCCAAAAGCGTACAGTTAACACCTGCACCCGGGCTGAAGAGAAAAATAACCAGAAAAGATTTTTTTTTTTTTTTATCCCCCAACAGATTACTACGTCAGAATGCAAAACCGCCACCTGTTTGTGCCTCTTCCCCCCTCACACACCTCAGAGGGCACAGGCACAACGAGGGGCTCGGCCACCCCGGGGCAGAGCAGGCGGCAGGCCCGGTCCCGGCGGACACCGCTGGAAACCCGAGCCCCACTACTTACCCGTGTGGCTGTACCTACGTATATACCATATATCCATACCCACGGGCACCAGGGGCAGCGCAGCCCCCGCCGCTGCTGCCCCCGGGCAGGCCGGGGGGGTCCCGCGCATGCGCCTGTGCCCCCGCCCCGGCCTGAGGGGCCGGGAAGGGGATGGGGACAGGAGGTGGAGGGAAGAGGGGAAGGAGACGCGTCGGCCCGCGCTGCCCGTTCGCACTCACCGGGGCCCGGCGCCCGCCGCCGGCTGTGGCCCTGCCGCCCGCCAGCCCCTCCGCCCGGCCTCCTCCGTCGCCTCCCGCCGCTTCC